TCACAAGTCTTGTGCCACCATGTCACTGGTCTTTTATACAGAACAATGGAGAACCTAACATGGCAGTAGAAAGATGATTGAATATTGAAATCGGAAACATTACTTTCCTACTTTAAAATTCTTTATTTCCATAGTTCTTTTATCATGCCACAGCCCTGCAGGAGCACTTTTTCCCCTCCAGGGGAGGTCTAGAAATAGTAACATGCAAGCCTGAATGAAAAAGCAACCACAGGCCTGACAGACAATTACCTTTAAATTCAATTTGGGGCAATCTGTATTTTCCAGTGGTAGTGCTATAAACTAGGACAGGACTGTGAAGCAGAAGCTTGCTGGAAGGGTTATATTTCACTTGTCTGTCCTTTACACTCTGTTTTAAATTGCTATTTGTTTGCCCAATCCTCATGCAATATATGCCCAAACAAGTTTTTATTCTGAAAGAGAGGGTCACAGAACATCAAAGAACTCCTCCTGACCAAGGGATGCTTTGTTCTGCCTCTATAGAACTGGGAAGCAGTAGAAGCCTGGTGAAAGATTGGGGCAAGGCTTGCAGGTCAGGCCACGCTCCAACCTCTCCATCACAGACAACAAAGGAGAAGAATTTGATTCTCAGCAAAACATACAAGGGTATCCTTCTGGTTTTGTGCTCCATGAAATCAAGGTTATAAATCATCCCAGCATTTCTATACTTTACCCATCTCATTTCTGGGATGTTGATGTTGGGATGTTGGTGGTGATGATGACGGTGGTGATGATGGATGGTGGTTATGATGATGACAATGACGCCGCCGCCGATGATGATGATGATGATGATGATGATGATAATGGATGCTATTTTTATTGAGGGGTCTCTCACAGCAACCTCACTTCATCTTTTCATTGTATTCTCACCAGGATCTTGTGAAGCAGGAATTATTAATAGTCTCATTCTTCAACTGGGGAAACTGAAGCTCAGAGATGTTACATGACCTACCCGAGGTCACTAGAGCCAGTAGTCACATCATCTCATGATCACAACTGCTTTTCTAGGCAGTCCCTTGACTGATGCCAGTAACTGTCTTCCGGGCTGTGAGAGCTTGTGTCTGTAATGAGACCTAAAGCCCCCGGTTAGTAGGAGTTAGTAGGAAGTGGACTGAATGAGTCTGCCTCCCAGGTTCTAGCATTTAAGCTGTGCCAGGCAATTGTATTCTCTCCAGTTCCATTAAATACTTTGGGAAGATTTTTCTTTTAAGTACTGAGAAAAATGCCAGGCATGGTGGTACACGCCTGCAATCCCAATATTCAAAGGCTGAGGCAGAAGGATTACAAGTTTGAGGCCAGTTGGGACTATTTAGAAGGTTCAAGGCTAGCCTGGATTATCCTGAACTAATAATAGTAATTCATAATTATTTTATGGGCATTTTAATTACCAAGAAAAGAAGAAAAAGACTTCCATTCTGCACACATCATATAGAATAAAGCTAATGAAATACTTGTCGAGTTAATTGATTAAAAAGACTGGGAAAGGAATAACCCAGATCGAAGTCTTAATATGAACCCTAAAACCATGGAACATAAATATCATTTGGAAGAAAATTTGGCCTTGTGTTCTGCACTTGGTTAGCCAGGTTATTTTATTAATCTTCCAATTTCTGCCTTGGCATTCTATGCACATGGGTTTCTGGGTTGCATGTGTAGCATTGCAGTAGTGTTTTTACTATACTTTCTTTGGAATATTGGCTGACATCTTGAGAATCTCACTGGGATCAAGTACAAAACATAAAACCTTCTAGATCTGTCAGAAAAAAATGAATAGTGACAATTTGCTTGAATAATATTTTGGCAAATGCCTATATTTTAAATACTTTAAGAGGAGAAAACAGATTTCTCCATTGTTAATGCATGGCCACAATCTATAAAATATTACTTCAAGAATACAAAGATGAGATTCATGCCAGTGACCCACACCTATAATAGTAGCTGCTCAAGAAGCTGAGTTCTGAGGATCATGGTTTGAAGCCAGCAAGACAGGAAAGTTCGTGAGACCCTTATCTCTAATAACTACCAAAAACCCAGAAGTGAAGATATGGCTGAAGTGGTAGAGTGGTAGCCTTGAGCAAAAAGTTTAAGGATCAGTGCCCAGCTCTGAACTCTCTGTGCAGAGATTGTTTTTGTTCTTGGGTTATACAAGAATGCTGTGTGATGGCTGGCATGTGGCTGTATGGCTCTATGGCAGAGCACTTGCTTACCATTTGTGATGCATGGAGTCCAATCCCCTAGAATTGAAGAAGAGGGAAAAGAAGCCATATTAGTTGGGTGAAACTACCAAATGCTCAGCAGGGTCAGGTGCCTTGCAAGTTCCTAGAATTTAAGAACATGAAGGGTGCTCCAGATATCGTTGTTGTGTTTGTGTACTTAGGGGTCCCTTTGTGCAGGCAAATACTGTGCCAGGTACTCCGCTACACATGAGCATTGATAGAGAATAGGCACTACTAGCCAGGGCGCTTCCTGTCCTGACAGTAGGACTGTCAGGTAGGGTAGGGGACCCAGAGGCTGGGGTGGGCCAGGCTTCCTGGAGGAAACCTTTGCTCAGGTTTGATCTGGGAACAAGTGGGGGTTAGCTAGACCCCCACTTACCAGGCCAGTGGGGGAGAGCTATTAAAATAGGTGACAAAAATTAAATAAGCTTAGAAGCATGGTTTTTTTTTTTTTAAAAAAAAAATACTGTATTTATTTATTCTTATATAGTAGTTAAGCAAAAGGGTGACAATTCCAGAAGCCACCTTATGAGTACAAGGCAGCATCATTCCCCCACCCCATCTTTACCTCTCCCTTCCCTACCCTTAAGTTATACAGTCCAATTTTTACACGATGCACACTGAGTATATTGACTGTATTTGTTCACCCTCCTTCCCTCTATTTGTGTATCCCTTCTCTCATTGCTCTCCCCTACCGAACATGCTTCAGCTGGTATTCATTTTGTTCATTGGTTTATTAGTTGTTGAGAGGAGTCACACCATTAAACTCCTCCCCCGAAGTATGCCATCCTTTAGTCAATTTCTTTGCATGTGGGTGCATATAAATCTCACATGTTACCAAGTATGCTTGCATTTAAGATCTAACTTCAACATATGAGAGGACATATGTGCTGGGTGTCTCTTGGAGCCTGACTTAATTCACTTTAACATAATCTTTTCTAGGTCTATCCATGTCCCTGTGAATGACATAATACAGATGAGTAAGATTCCATTGACTATATGTACCTTACTTCTTGATCCACTCATCCATTTTAGGACACCTGGGCTGTTGCCATATGTTGCTTATCATGAATAGGGCAACAGTGAACATGGAAGCACTAGTGTCTTTACTATATCCTGACTTAAAATATTCTGTGCAGATGCCCAGGAATATCATAAAGTTTTATCTGAGGGGGAGGGAGTATTCATTAAAAGATTTCCTACATGACTTTCTTGTGCCAATCAAGAAAGTAATCATCTTAATGAGACAATATTCCACACCATCAGAGATGGGGTCACAGTTAGTTTATGCCACAGTCGATAGGCACCTGGGCCAGGATTATGAGGGTGGGATAGAGAAAAATGAGTTGGATTTGGAAAGAATTTTTTTTGGGTGCCAGTCCTGGGGCTTGAACTCAGGGCCTGGATGCTGTCCTTGAGGGTTTTTGCTCAAGGCTAGCACTCTACCACTTAAGCCACAGCGCCACCTCCAACTTTTTTGGTGGTTCATTGGAGACAAGTATCTTATGGACTTTCCTAACTGGGCTGGCTTTGAATTATACTCCTCAGTCTCTTGAGTAGCTAGGATTACAGGTATGAGCCACCAGTGCCTCACTTTGGAAACGGTTTTAAAAGTTGAAGGGGACAGGAGTTGTCACTAGATTCTCCAGGCATCATTCTGGTGTCTCCCTTTATTTCTTAGGAGAGTCCCACTTTTTAGAAGGAGTGTGATGTTGCCAGTCTATTTGAGATGTCTTAGGGAAGGAATAAGACAAGGCCAACAAATGTGTTTGTATAGAGTGAGTATCAAGGACTTATTGACAAGGCTTAAAAAAAGAACTCAACTCCTTTGGAAACCTTAGATGTGCTGAGAAGATTGCATTTACATATATCCTCTCCCATAATATTGCAGGTAATCGGAGATTAAGCTTTGCCATTCACTTCACAGGTAGAGAAACAGATGAAGGGAGGCTGAGGGCAGGGGGTACACTGTAGAGCCTATGTCAGATATCAGCCTCAGCCCTAGTCTATTGGCTTTGAGCACAGAGTTCTTAATCACTGTGACTTATGCTATTCTCAAAGAGCATAAAATATTACAAGAATTCAGAGCTGAGCTTTGAAGGCTGGTAACACAGATTCATTCATCCACACAGTTTCTCTGTCACAATAACTGATCTTTCTTGAGTACCAACTGTTGGGTAACTATAACATTGTCATTAGAAACATGAATTTTGGTACTCAGCCCCCTGGGATCAAAACTTACCCTCTCTAGTTCCATGCTGTGTGTGTGTGACATCGCCAATTAACTTCTCAGTATCTCATTTTCCTATGGCAGGGAAGAGAGGATTCGTATTAGCTCACTGAGATGTTGTGCAGATTAGATGGACGGATACATAGCCCTTAGAAAAAAAGCACCTGGCATTTGCCAGTGACTGTAAGGGCTCATAATAAGCAATTGCCAATGAGGAAAAATAAAGTCTTTATGGTGCCGTCAGAAAGAACGTGTCACATGGTAACAAAGACAGTGAAGAATGGGGTGTCTGTGCATGCCAGATGCGGTGACAGAAGATGCTGTGTTCCTGTTGCTTATCCCAGAGATCCTCTCTGACAGAATTGCCGTGAGTGGTTTGCATCTTGGCTGTTCCCCTCACTGACCTTTGTGAAAGACATTTTTCCCCCCTATTCTGCCCCAGCTTGTTTCAGGCCCAGTGCTTTTCTGACTCTCAGGCAAACTCTACACTTAGTTCAAGTGCTGCACTGATTAAACTCTTGTCATGTCTTTTGCAGGAAGGGGAGCTTCCTGAGGAGAACTGTCTTCACTGCCGAGGGTCGGGCAGTGCCACCTGCACTCTGTGCCATGGCAGCAAGTTCTCAATGCTGGCCAACAGATTTAAGGAGTCCTACCGAGCCCTGAGGTGTCCTGCCTGCAATGAGAATGGCCTACAGCCTTGCCACATTTGCAACCAATAGCTGTGGTTTTCTTGTACTGGCTTACTTTTCCTTTACCATTCTCCCCCAAATTATTCCTAATAAAATACCCTCTCCTCCGCCTCTCTCAGCAAGGAGTCCCTGCAGCTGCAAACCATTCCACCACTAGCAAAACTCAATTACTTCATGACATTTTGTGAGGCCAGCACTATCTCCACATGGGTCTAAATAGGAGGGACATTTTTTGAATTAAAGCCTGCTTTGACACTGGTTCTGAAATTATTCTTCCAAGATTGTGTGCATATAACTCACTTGACTGAGCTCAGTTTCTATTTTTACTTGCGCCAGTGAACAAATAAATGCACACTTCAGGCAGCAGGTTGAAGTCATTTTCTGGTTAGGAGTTATTTTGCAAAATTATTCAGTGAGAAAAGAATAAAGCAGCTTCTCTTTGATGCAACGGATGCCTGTTGCTTATAGTGCATCTGAAATTGTTGTTGGTCAAATTGAATTTGTAATTAAGCGGAAGAGGAATGGGATGGCCACCGATGAACTGAATGCACTGGAAGCCATGCCAAGCACAACATGCCCATTCGGGCAACAGGCAAGTGGAGGAAGCTGATCCTTCCAGGGCCCTCTGTGTGACATGCTTGGCTCATAGCCACTCAGGCAGTGAGCAATACTACTTCTTAGGTCAAGATGAAATAGGACATCTTTCATGCCTCTGCTGACATTGCAAGGCATGTCAACGCTCTTTATGATAAATGTGCTGCTTTTATTTTTTCTTTCTCTTTTTCTTTCTTGTGTGTGTGTGTGTGTGTGTGTGTGTGTGTGTGTGTGTGTGTGTGTGTGTGTGTGTGTTGCTACTGGGATTTGAACTCGTGATTTTGTATTCTCACTTGGCTTTTTTCACTCAAAGCTGGTGCTTTATCACTTGAGCCACATTTCTGCTTCTAACTTTTTTATGATTAATTAGATAAGAGTCTCAGGGACTTTCCTGCCTAGGCAAGCTTTGAAATGAGATCCTCAGATCTCAGTCTCTTGAGTAGTAGGATTACAGACCTGAGCCACTAGCACTTAGCTTTAAGTCAAATATTTAGCCATAACTACTTATAAAGGACTGCAGACATATTACAAATGTCTGTTGGAAACCTCTAGGAGAAAAAGGAACCAAAAGCAAACATGTTTTTTTTACTGTCCATGAATGTACATACTAAGGATGATTCTTTCCTCTTAAATAAAATTAGAAGACACTTTTACTAATGAACTTTTGTAAGTTCTGACACTTGTCCTCACACCCAGTAAGAATAACACTGTAAGCTCTCTCATCTATCAGACTCCCACTGTGTTTTTATGATAATAATTTTGATTTAATATCTTCACACATTTCTAAGATTTGTTTGTTAGTCTCTCATATTCAGCTGCTAAAATAATTCAGCAATGGATTGTTTTGGAGACAACATCAATAATTCTAATAAAAAAGACATGAAAATAGGTTTTCAAGCCATGATGATTTGTCTTGTCTCTCTTATCTTGTTCCTTGACTTCTTTAGCTTCTGTAGTTAACTAATTTCTGTCTCCTCTTACATTTCTTTGCAGCTATAGAATTTGTGCCATTCCAGAATAACAGAGGAAGGGGAGATGTTAACAGATCTTTAAGTGTATTCTGGTCTTTGAAAGGACTATTTGAGTCCATCTTGTTGGCAGGATTGTATCACAGAGACACTTGAGATTGGCATCTCATGCCAATCCCAACAGTTCTTCTGAAGGAGACAGGTATATGAACAGCTAACAATAGCTACAACACAGTGAGCAAAGGCTGGAGTGGGATAATTATAGACAGCAGGTGGAACCCAGGAAGGGACACATGACTAGCTTTAGTGGGTTTTTGGGTTGTTTAGAGTGTTGGGGATTGAACTCAGGGCTGTATAAATGTTAAGCACATGCTCTACCATTGAGCTACTTTCCCAGCCTCCCTCCCTTCCTCCCTCCCTCCCTTCCTCCCTTCCTTTCCCTCCCTCCCTTCTTCCCCCTTTCCTCTTTCTTTCTTTCTTTCTTTCTTTCTTTCTTTCTTTCTTTCTTTCTTTCTTTCTTTCTTTCTTTCTCTTTCTTTCTTTTTCTTTTTTCTTTTCTTCTCCTTTTCTTTCTATTCCTTCCTCCCTCCCTCCCTCCCTTTCTCCTTTCCTCCCTCCTTCCTTCTCTCTCCCTTTCTTATTTTATTCATACATTTGCAATAGAGGGGATTTCGTTGTGATATTTTGCACACATCTCCTCCACCATCTTCTTATCCTCCCCTATCTCCTCTCCCTTTTTCACACAGTGTTGGTGACTTTCATTATGCTGTCATCATATATTCCCAGCCATCTTAGCAAGTTAAGGGCAGCTTCTAAGAGAGGTGAGATGCCTTGACTTTTCTGCCTTACTATCTGTTCTTAAGCACATTTAGTTTTTTTAAAAAGTAATCACAAAATAAATACATCTACTATTGATGCATTGATTTTGTTCTTTCATAGGTAGTTATTTCTTATTGTAGTAGGAATATTTAATGTTACACCTTATAAACAATTTTTAAAATATGTAAAACAGTATCATTATGTGTCAACAGGTATTGTGCACCAAGAATGTGTCAGTACATAAAATAGATAAAGGGAATGGGAAGGTGGCTTATTGGTAGAGTGCTTGTCTTGCATGCTTAAGGCCCTGGGTTCGATTCCTCTAAGCAGAAAAAGCTGGAAGTGGTGCTGTGGCTCAAGTGGTAGAGCGCTAGCCTTGAGCTGAAGAGCTGAGGGACAGCGCCCAGGCCCAGAGATCAGGCTCCATGACCAACCAAAAAAGACAAAACAAATAAACAAAACAAAACAAAACAAAAACAGACAAAATCTTGGTCCCTGTGGCACTTACATTTTAGTGGTAGACTTTAGATAAATTCCTATATTTACACAGTGAATATATTTTGAAGTTACTAACTCTATAATACAGAAAAATCAATCATTTATAGTAATACAACTATGTACAGAATGCATTCTGTAGAAAGAAATACATAGCTGGTTATACTGGCTCATGCTTTTAATCCCAATCACTCAGCAAACAGAGATCAGGATGATCATGGTTTGATCAGGGAAAAGTTTGAGATTCCATCTCAAACCAGGGGTGCCAGTCCATGCCTGAATTTATCTACTGGAGACGAGGAGGCATACATGGGAGAATATTGGCCTGAAACTGGCCCTGAGCAAAATTTTGAAAGCCTGCTTGAAAAAATAAGTAAAGCACAAGGAGACATGGGATTTGACTCACATGGGAGAGGACCTGCTTAGCAAATGTAAGGCCCTGAGTTCGAACTCCATTACCACAGAGAAAAAGAGGAGGAAAAATACGTCTGAAGAAAATGTTACAAGGATTGGAGAGAAAAGTCGCTAGAATTTTGGTTTCAAGAAGGCATTCCTGAAAAGATGTAAAAGAGCTAGCGGAGCTGAGAGCTGTGAAGGAGACTGGGGTACGGTTTCTGGGGGAAATGTCAAGTGTTAGATCATGGAAAGAGAGCAGCAAAGAATGTGTGTGGCTGTAGAGAGTAGGCAAAGGGGCAGGTGGCAGGGTGAAGTTTGAGGGAAGGTATGTGCATTGGGTAAAAAGGTGCCTTCTTTAGAAGCCATAGTAAGAACTTTGGCTTTGCTGTGAAATACTGCTGAGAAGGAACCTGTTTACAACCATCTTCCCCTAAATATTGGGGCAGGAGACAGGCAAACTACACTTCCCAGACTCCCTTGCTCAATGGCTTCCTGTTAGGTTCTACCAATGAAAGATTCTGACTGGAAACTGTATGATGGGAAGAAGGATGCGCCTTCCTCCTATTGGATCAGGTCCCTGGCATCCTTTCTACAAGGCAGCTGTTACAGAAGCTGCAGTAGCAAGCACAGGCTGATTAGAGCAGATTGGCTGTTTAAGCTACTTTTTTTTTTTCTCTCTGATATAGCTAATTTTAGTGGCTCTGAATGTAGTTTCCAGGTACACTATTTCCTCTTTGGTTTCTCCAGTGGAAGGTGGTAATGGCTTCGTGCAGTTATGAACCTTTGTAACCAAACCCTGTAATATATTCTTTCTCTTTGAAATATCTGATTATCTGAACCAGAATCAACTCTAAATGGATCAAAGACCTCGAAATAAAAGCAGACACCCTGAAAACTTTACAGGAAGGAATAGGAGAAACTCTAGGGCTCCTTGGCACAGGCTGAAATTTTCTAATAAACACCCAGAAACACAACAAATTAAAGAAAGGTAGGACAAATGGGATTGCATTAAATCGTAGAGCTTCTGCATGGCAAAGGACATAGCTAGCAAGATCAATAGACAGCCCACTGATTGGGAGAAGACCTTCACATATAACAGACAAGGGCCTTATATTGAAAACTCAAAAAATTAAATCCTTCAACAATAAATTCTCAAAGAAACAACCAACCCATTGATAAGTGGGCTAAAGACTAAAAGAGAGACTTCTTGGAAGAGGAAATAAGAATGGCCAATATACACATGAAGAATTGCTCAACATCAATGGCCATAAAAGAAATGCAAATCAAAACAACAGTGAGATTTCATCCCACCCCAGTTAGAATGACTATAATCAGGAAATCTAATAACAGATACTGGAGGGGATGTGACCAAAAGGGAAAGCTACTACACTGTTGGTGGGAGTGTAAACTTGTTCAACGACTCTGGAAAGCAGTATGGAGGTTCCTCAAAAGACTCCACATAGAGCTCCCCTATGACCCAGCAATCCCACTTTTGGGCATTTACCCAAATGACACACACAAGGTCATACTAAAGCTACCAGCACAACTATGTATATTGAAGCATTATTTACTATAGCTAAGATATGGAACCAACCCAGATGCCCCTCAGAAGATGAATGGATCAAGAAAATGTGATACACACACACACACACACACACACACACTGGAATTCTATGCTTCCATCAGAAAGAATGACACTGCCCCATTTGTTAGGAAATGGAAAGACTTGGAAAAAATCATATTAAGTGAAGTAAGCCAGGCCCAAAGAAACATAGGTCCCCTTATTTGCCATAAATAGTATATATCTAGGACAACCTTAGCAGATGAGCAAAATAGCTCAATAGCTATGTACATATCATATAAGATGATCCTAAGTGAAATGAACTCCAAGACATGGACACAAGAGG